CTCAAAACTCGGAGGTATGGCTTTCAGATACGAGTTCACTCTCAATTAGCTATGGCGACTTCAGCGCCCAAACATCTCACTGTTCACATACACTGGATCACCCTGGATATCCCACACGCATCACTCTAATACTCGAACACACACACACACTCACTACTAACTACAGGTATGGCAGTTGTCGCTGCATCTACCCTATCGCTATGCTAACTCCCTCTCTCTTGCCCACTACGTCCTCCGGGCTCATCTGCAGACCTCCTTGCACAAGTCGCTGTGGCAGCGCTTCCGCATGGCTCACGTAGGAATGAATGAATGGCTGGGCACTGCCTCTTGATTTATACTTCACAAACTCGTTGGTCTGCCCTTTGCCATCGGCCCTTGGTGCTCACAGTCCCCCTATGGTACTTGCTGGACCGGACTGGGACTTACTGGACCTCCCGCTGACTGACTGTGGACTCACCGCTATCCTACCGACGTTGTACTGTTGTTGCACTGCGGTTTCGTCCACCACTTGCCTCTCCACTTGACCACTTGCCCACTTGCCTACCTTCTAGAAGGTCTACAACTAAGCTTCCGGAACGCACTAAGACTCCTACGCTATAGACCTACAGATCGAACCCCTGCTGCCTATGGACCTACGGCAGGCCTACCAACTGCCTACGAATACACAGGTCACAGGTTCAATTCTCGGGGTCTACACAGATACTGTACACGGGTAGGGTGAGGTCTAGGGATCGAACCCTGGGCACTGCATCCACCACTGCTAAAAGGTGAAAACCGTTTCAAACAGGCCGACATCACCTATCATGTGTTGAGTGGAGAAGTGGTCCTGTATGAGTCAAAGTCCATGCCAGTGTCCACATTCTGGCACAAGGACCTGGACAAAGGAAATAAGTGGAAGGGTCGTGCCATCTCTGGCCAAGTGAGGGCCAAGGATCATATGATCCTCACGTTAGAAGAAGGTGGTACAAATGAGATCCCCTACAGTGAGATTGAGTGGGGGTTAGAGGAGGATGACAGCAACATAGGGCAGGGGAGGTCTTATGCGGCTGTCGCGGCTGGCGGGAGGCCGCAAGGTAGAGGAGGAGGCCAGCGCCAAAGGGGCCAGGCCATGGGAGGCCGAGGACCGGGCGCACACGAGGTTGGCGGACAAGGGAACCGCGAAGTGGGAGGTAGGGGTCAAGGTCCCCCGCCAAATCGTCAGGGTTCTTGTCAGTCCTCACAACGACGAGGAGAAAGGCCACCTCAACAGACAGGAGGATGGCACCCAGGCTTGCCACAAGGCAGGCCTTGGGAAGATTTGGGTTTGGACCAGCACGTATGGCAGGAACGTGTGGACTTGGGTTAGTGCGTATTCTGTGGTGACCCGGCCCATGTAATTAAATTTTGTCTTAAGTATAGACAGGCCCGATGGGCTGCCCAACAGTCAAAAGGCAGCCGCCAGTAGGGGTCGCAATTGCCCCTTCTTCAAGGCCATGTGGGGAAGCGTGCACGCGCACACAGGAAACTCCCAAACCACATGAGCCTATGGCAGAGGTTGCAGGCCCGTGCCTAGCTAGCTGTCCAGAGGCTGCTTGTGTTAGAGTCTCTCTAGGCACGTCCCTCACAAGTGGGGCAGAAGAGCTGAAGGAAAGGATGCCAGCCTGGGCCAAAATGAAGAAGGAGAGTAAGGGACAATTGATCTTGGTAGATGTAGAAGTGTTTAGAAGCATAGTAGGTGCCCTTAGACTCAGGGGCCACCCGCAGTTACATTAGCCATAGGGCGCTGAAGAAGCTGACGCTAGGATTAAAAGTCCAAAAGTGAGCAGACCCCACAGTCAGTGTCCTCGCAGACAACCGCACGATGCGAGTTGAGGACTACGTAGAGGGAGTCCAGGCGTACTTTCGCCTAGAGAAAGATGGGAAGGTGGAAAAAGTTCTCCATTCCCTGACTCTCCTCGTTCAGGATGATCTTCCTTTCGACATAGTGTTAGGAATGGATTAGGGAGATACAGCAGGGGCCACACTCCACTTGAGAGAGCATGAGTGTAGGCTCCCTAGTCCGTCAGGCGAGGTTAAGACTGCCCGCCTATTTCATGTGTCAGGTGTAGATAACACCACATTGTTGTCTCAGTGCTCCCACGTTCACGCGACTAGTGAAAAAAGAGTAGTTAGAGGATCAGGTCTTCGTAGTGTATGTGAGGCCTGTCACTGAGGCTAAGGAAGGAGATAGTTCCACAGACCCAACCATTGCCAAGCTGCTGGAGGAATTCAAAGATTTTAATGAGTCGCCGACAGGAGTAGTGCCGCGACCCATCCAGCACAGGATAGAGATAGAGCCTGGCAGTAGGACTCATAAGGGAGCAGTCTACAGGATGTCCCCTAGAGAGTTAGAGGAGCTACGCAAGCAGTTAGACGAGCTCCTCGAGAAAGGTTGGATCAGGCCCAGTTCATCTCCTTTTGGAGCAC